GGGTAAGAATTGGTCATCACTGTGCAGAGCAGCCAAACCAATGAGGAAAAGACAGTCAACAAGAGCATAGAAATCTCTGTGCTTAAGAGAGAGAGGACAGTAGCATCAAAATTAAAATAAGTTGTTTTAGGAAATAAGGAAATAAATAACCATCCTTTAGGACAAACCATATTCTCATCTTGAGTAGTATTGAGTATATTGATATTTGAGTATATCAAAATTTTACACAAATCAGATTGTGTTAGAAATCTGGGTCACATGCAATTAAATTATGCTATCATTGTCACTGCTGATAAAATAAGCCAGACAGCAGTTCAAAACTTCCCATTTTAAAGTGTTCTCTAAAATATTTTGGCACAAACATAATTAGTTCAATGCACTGAGACCATTTTTTCCTCCTCATGCACAAAAATTTTGTGAGGAAGCAAGGACCTGGAACAAACAGTATAATTTGGCATGTCTTCTACTTGGCTTATAGCTATCTATGAAATGTCTAAGATAATTCTGAAATGTTAGCAGGAGAGAAACAGTGGCTAGCATCTCTTTTACTGTTAAGCAGCCTTCTAAAAGGTTTCAAGTCAAAATAAAAAAATACATTTGTCTTCATAGGGGCATATCATTACAGTTTCAAAATTAACATTTTAACATTCTGGAGTGAAGATGAAGAAAGAACTGCACTTGTTTGATACAAACATGTTTTTGAAAATATGTTTTTTAAGAGGTTATTCTGCAACCTCTCTGTGCCTCTCTCTACTCTGGTCTCAGAACAGGTAACTAGAAGGTATGTGTTTTTTTTTCTTCCCTCAATGCAGCACCTCAGAGTTTTGGGCTTTGATTTGTAAAAAACAGTAAGGAAGCTGGGTAGAATAATTCTAACAACCTCCCAGTCTTGGTCCAGTATAACTACAGCAATTCATTTCAGAACACAGACTTCATGCTAACAAGCACCTTTAAATAGCAAATTCTTCCTAATTTTTGTACTTTACCACCTCCCTTATATTAATTGAAGAGCTGATGTACACCAAGTATGGCTCTGGGTCTTGCTGCATCCTCTTCTGACCAATATGCCTCTAAGAGGAAAAATACAGAAATCTGACCAAGTCAGTACTTAATACACCAAGCACCTAGCACATAAGTAATGTGTCAGAAACAGCTAGTTAGCACAGCTAATAGGCAGCAGTCAGATGTGCTAAATGCAGCCTAACCTTACACTTCTATCAAGGAAGCTAATCATACCTGCCACAACTTTTGAAATGTCAACACCTTAATCACCTTAGACTAAACATTTAAGATAGAGTTCTGCATTTCAGCAACTTCTGCATTTCTGTTCTTGTTGTGTGCAGCGTGTATTTTTTCTAACTACCTTTCTTGTCCCTGCGTGCCCTCTACACGCTCCTCAAGTAAAACATTTCTTTGTGTGAAACACACACGCACACAAAAAGGAAAAGAAATAGGTCAGAATCACCTACAAGAAGCAAAGATGCTGCACTTTTTTTTTTAAAGCTAGTTTCTATCAAGAGTTAGCTGGAACTGTACTCAATCTATTAAACAGTAAAAAGGTTATGTAAGCACCTCAAAATGCTGCCAAGTGTTTCTTCTTGAGATCGTTGTTCAGTATTTTGATTAGATACGTACACTACTGTGCCAGGAAAGAATGGTTGATCTCAATAATAATGTATTTAGATTAATGGCAAAGGTCTAAGTTTACAAAAAAAAAATCCAGAATCAGAAAAAGTGCACTGAAAAATGCCTACTTATTTAGCAATAGAATTGCAGGGATTATATCTACATCAGACTTAAAATACCACTCCCCTCCAAGTAACAGATTCATGTAGCAAAAATACAAGGTGGCAAAGGAAGATAGTTTTGTCAAATATATTCTCTACTTGCCTATTTTTTAATCTGATGGATATAAACCAATGATTTACTCAGTAGTCATTGCTGTTTGAGCAGAAATACTTCGAGGTTACCATTCTACAAGCCAAATCTTGTTAAGTTTTACATTACAGCATCACAGACTCAGCATAACTTGTTATTTAAGTCTTCCTTGATGAATAGATATTAATTAAAAAGCTTAATGGCATCTTTCCACTTCTTTCAAGAATAGTTTTTCTAAGTGACTTACTGCATACTGAGCATTTATTATAGCTGATATGAAAAAATACATCTAAAAATGTATAAAGCCTATAAAATGACCAAACCGGCCTTTACTTTGACAATTTCTCTTGCTCATTCCCCATTCATGTGGAGCTCTTTTACAAGACAGAATCCTTTCTGGAAAGTCTCTGAGACGGTATTGAAGAGTTCTTCATAAAAAGAAAAAAGAAATAACTCTTAAAAGTTTTTGATCTTAATAGTCAAATCATAATTTTCTTGAGACAAAAGAGAATACAGACATCCTGCAACAGTCAAAGATGGATTAAACCCATAAATAAATTATATAGCTGATTATTGTACAGCTGATACCAGATACTGCCAAAAGGGCACCCGCCTGCTAAACCCAGGAACCTGCAGGTCAGACAGGGAATTCCAGCCTGCCTACAGAGAGATAAAATGGGGATTCTGTATTAATGTACTAGGGCAGACTCAGAGACGAGACTAACGGGATGTTTCATGAGACTGTTGCATGCTTCTCTAGCCAATGCAGTCCTCAGGGGTGAAGAGGGCCCTTGCTTTTACCAAGTGTCCTGAGCTCAGCTGGATGCAAAGTCCTCCTTCATCAAAGACAGACTCCCACCTGATTAAAGCCAGGCTGCAGAAGTCCAGGCAGGGAATCCCAACCCACCTGCAGAAATATGAATCACTGAATTAATGGACGGTCTTACGTTACCTACAAACTACCATCTGGGTGAGAAGAGCCTAGAGGCAGGTTGCGATGGCTCTTGGTAACAGAAGATGGCTACAGCAGGATTTGGCATGAATATTAACAGTACTGAAGGTTTCAAAGGTAGAAAATAAGGAGATGATACAATAAATTCTAAGCATAGGTCAGAGGAGTGAGAATCAAGTGAGAAAGGCAAAAACGTGGAGCCAGGGCCTACTGGTGAAGCTGAAAACACTACTTTCTAGAAAGACAGGGAACAGAATAAAAAGGGAAGAGACAAATATCCAACACAGACATAGTCTTTTTCAAAATAAAAGGTACAAGGCCATTGGTTTGACAGAAGTCTGTGGATGACAACCCCAAAGATGCAATACTGACTCACTGGTACGTGAAGAACAGTAGACATAAAAAGGTCTCTTCTCCAGCTTTCTCTGAAGTAGTAAACTTGGCAAAGCAAGACGAGGATCTTAAGAAACTGGTACATTTGGAGATTCAACTAAGAGCAACATCCCTAAAATCATAATCTTAGTTCTGTCAGTTTGCGGGGGCTTGCGTCCATCAAAAACCAGACTGCCCAAACAGCAAGTCCATGTGCTAGAGAGCAGGCACTTACCTGCTTCAGCTATGTCACCTTGTGAACAGGTAACAGAACATCCTGTGCGGACAGAGAGAATAAGCACAGCAGTACACAGGTGTCTTTAGTGGTTTACAGATTCACAGAATATTTAAGGTTGGAAGGGACCTCTACAGATCATCTAGCCCAACCTTCCTGCTCAAGCAGGCACACCTAGAGCATGTGGCACAGGGTGGCATCCAGGCGGGTTTTGAAGACCTCCAGAGTAGGAGACTCCACAACCTCCCTGGGCAGCCTGTTCCACTGCTCTGTCACCCTAACAGTAAAGAAGTTGCTCCTCACCTGGAGACGGAACTTCTTGTGYTTCAGCTTGTGGCCATTACCCCTCGTCCTATCGCTGGCCACCAGTGAGAACAGCTTGTCCCCTTCCTCCCTGCATTCTCCCTTCCTGAACTTATACATATTAATCATATCCCCTCTGAGCCGGCTCTTCTCCAGAGAAAACAGGCCCAGCTCACTCAGCCTCTCTTCATACGAGAGATGTTCCATTCCCTTAATCATCCTGGTTGCCCTTCTCTGGACTCTCTCGAGAAGCTCCACGTCCCTCCTATACTGGGGTGCCCAGAACTGAACACAGTACTCCAGGTGCGGCCTCACCAGAGCTGAGTAGAGGGGCAGAATCACCTCCCTTGACCTGCTGGCAACACTCCTCCTGATGCAGGCCAGGATCCCATTGGCCTTCTTGGCCACGAGGGCACACTGCTCACTCATGGTTAACTTAGTGTCAACCAGGACTCCCAGGTCCCTCTCCATGGAGGTGCTTTCCAGCAGGTCGACCCCTAATCTGTACTGTTTCCTTACTTCTTTGGGAATGGAATGAGACAGATTCTAAATTCCTATGGAACAGGAACTTTTCCAAATTTGGGAAGCGGAGGGGGGTTTAAATCCGGCAGTTTAATGCCCAGAGTCTGAGGTTCAGGATGGCTGAACTAAGCAGCTTGGGACAACAAAAGGACATCCTTTTAAAGATGATTTTTAAAATTCATTTCTTGGGGAATGAGGAAGCTATTTCCAGTATAAGGCATGTTCTTTTCCTACTATACAGAATATTTGTGCACACTATCCAAGTAGAATAGTTGTTGCCTAGACTGTTACTAACAATCTCCTTTACAGTGAATTTCCCAAAACTGCTCCCTTTAACTGAACCTGTTACATCTACAGCAATGTTAGTACAGATGGAAGCGATACAGAAGAAAAATATTACACTATTTTGTTCTACAAAGGTACAAAAAGCCCATAAAAATGCATTTCTGTCACTGGCTATGCATGATTAGATGCACAAATATTGGTATAGGAACTACACATGTAGAAACGAACACCAAGTGATAGATTTCCAAACAAAATGCTAAAGAACAGGTTTGTCCTGTCCTTGTTAAAGGATGGAAAAAGCTTTTGGAAGGTTCATTCTCAGCGGTAAAGCAGCAGCTATTTAACAGAAGCAGGTTTCTGAAGCATCTTAACAGCTCTCACTGGTGACTTGTTACATCTTACCACTGGTCCCCGCAGGTCCCGTACCCTGACAGGCAGAATGAAAAGCCTCTCTAACGGGGCCACTGGCTGTCAGAAGCCACCAGCTGGCCTGCCAGGGCTTCGCAACCGCAGGGGCCAGCTGACAGCCTGGGTGTTGCTGACCATGCTGAGCAACGTGCCACCCAGCTGCTGTGTGGTCACGTCCATCTGGAGATCTCCAGCCAGACAAATCTCCGGGCCTGTCAGATCTCTTCAGCAGGCCTTGTTATGCAAATTCAATTACTCAAGTGTGCCCTATTACTGCTGGCTAACTGCTCCTAGAACCAATCTCACACTGACAGTCAGCTCACATTTTTACCCACCAAAAGTACCTCATTTATTCTTGCTCGGCTACTCCCTTGTATCATTAAGGCGGAACAGACAAAGTCCACAGTAGTGTAACCTCTCTGCAGTGGGCTACTATTCCTTGCAAAGAGCTTGGACAGAAATTAATTTAAAAACATACAGCATCTAATCAAACGTGATCTTATCAAAGCCACACTTGCTACATAATTTACTATTAGAAATAGTAAATCATAAATCATAAAACTTTTGACAGAATTCTGCATCATCGGACAACTTTTGTAAAAACAAACCTGGCGCAGAATATCCAGGAAAGCTGGGAATTGTGTTTCAGACTTTAGCCTTAGCAAGGGGATGTAGGTTACGAAAAGCAAGATTTCCTCTTGTATCTAGCACACCAGTATTTAGATTTGCTCAGTTAGCAGGATGGCTGTAACAGCAATCACTAACTTCTTCCACATACTTATTTATTGACCCTAATTTAAAAGCAGTCTGAGCTATTGGTAGAGATATGAGAGAGTTTATTTAAAGAATTCATCAGGTAAGTACAATATTAGAAGACAATTAGTGAATATTTACAAAGAAAGAGTTAAATAAGCATTTCACTGTTGATTCAGTATGTCAGTAAAAGTTTTCATCCAAAATACTGCTCTGAAATTGGGTGATTTCATTTTGCAAAATAATTCAAAATCTGACATGCAAAGTTTTAGGAGATAAAACATGGTCAAATAGAAGAAACTAGTTTGAGTATCTGTATCTAGCATAAAAGTGGATTCTAAAGTATTTGTGTCTCTCAAACTACTATAAAGCAAAGGAAATATTGTTATGGGGGAGTTGTAAACCAGATAATGCAAATATGTATAAAGCTACAGCACAGTTATTTAGCTTGATCAATATTCACTGTGGTTTACAGTATGTGATGGCAAGTACTTTAACTAATTGAGGTAACAGGGCAAATGACAACAAATCAAGCCAAGTCTCTTCAACCTCATCATCTCCCTCCTCATAGAAATGAAGTTGTCTAAGCGTTGATTCTTTTTCTCAGTTCCTTTCTAAATTGGGTTTGGGGCTTGAAGAGAAAAGGATTTGTGAGGAAATTTACTTGAAAAACTTAACATTTTCATTCAGAAGCTCTTGTCCTAAATGGGACTGCTAAGCAAATCAATAAAAAGGAATGTGTTGGAAGAGTGCAGGGAAAATCTCTTAAGATAGGATCAGAAGATGTTGAGTTGATTAATGCCTAGGAACCTGAGCTGTTGTGAAGGAAGATATGAGTCAAGCTTTGGGAAAAGTTGGAAAACTGGCAAAGCACACCATGTTGGCAGAATGCTTGGCATGGGAAGATGGGAAGAAAGACGTATGTGGGAGAGGCATTGCTGTGTGAAGTCTTGAAAGGTGAGAATATATGATGCAGAGATCAGAACTGAAGAAAGGCATTCCAGGAAAACATTTACAGCCAAGGGCATGAAATGAAGATATTAGGTGAAAGATGTTAGCTGGGAGACAAACGATCACGAGGCCAGGGAGAAGTTAAAAGTGCAATAGTCAAGGCCTGAGATAACTGGGTCATGGAACAAGGTCGTATCAATAGCATGGTAAGGTTTTAAAACAAATAAAAGTGAAACATCAGCAAGACTTAAAACATACTGAGCTTCTCGGGGGGAAAAAAAAACAGAAACAAAAGTCAAATATGACTGTGGGGCTGGAGTGTGCTTTGAGAGGTGTGGAAGACAGCTGACTAAATCTACAGAATAGCAAAAGCTTTCTAAATCTGTAAAATGGGGTCAGGAGACGGATATTTTTGACAAACACAGCAAAAGATAAATGAAGAAAATAAGTCTGATGTGTAGGTACCTCAGAAAATGGATGCTGAATTCAGAACGGAACAGTTAAGAAACAGAAAAAGTCATTTCGAAAAAGTCTCATGTTTATGCTTCAAAGGTACCTGAAGTTAAATTTCCACACAGTTTAAAAGCAAGGTAACTTAAGGAATAACTTAACATGCTTTCTGAATGATCCTCACAAATGATTTAAAGAAGACAAAAGAAGACAGAAAGATTACTAGTCTCAAAGAAAATGATTTTTTGTTGTTGTTGTTGATGATGATTTGAGCAGGGGGAAAGCGGGCAAAATAGAGAAAGAGAAGTAGAATAGAAATGCACATCATTGGCACATCTGGTTTTGATTTAGGAGCATTGCTTTTGAAGAAGCTTTTAGAGCCTTGCTCCTAATGAAGCTGAATATATTGTTGTGAAATCTAACTGATTTAACTCCTCATCCCATCTTCAAGGACAGACTGAAACAAGAAAGCTTTTTTATTTCTTTTTAAATGAGCGACCAGGGTAGTCTGAGAGGACAGGTTTCATTCTATCTAGACATACACATATGCATACTTTTTATCTACGAAGAACACAAGACCCCTATTCAGGGATAAATTAGCAGTCTGGGAAAATTCTGTTTCATTGAAGTCATCCTGAATGACACCTTCCAAAGGAAACAACATGGACAGCTCTAA